CCAACGGTACTATCGACTGAGGTGCTCGGTACCACAGCCACCGAAACTCTACGGTTTGCCGAAACTACACAAACCTGGTTTCCCGATGCGACCTATTGTTTCTTTCTGTGGCTCTCCCACATACCAACTATCCAAGTACCTGACGACAATACTACAACCGCTAACCGACAAATCCAGACATAAACTACAATCCACTGAAGACTTCATTAACGCTACCAAGACTGTTCAGATACCTGACGACTACAAACTAGTGTCATTTGATGTGAAATCACTGTTCACAAGTATTCCACTTCAATTAGCATTACAATGCACTGAGACTGCAATCCGACAATCTACTGACCCACTACCGCTACCGACAGACGACATCATGGACTTGCTAAACATTTGCCTAACGTCTACTTACTTTCAGTACAACGGTAAACACTACAAACAGTTACACGGCACTGCCATGGGGTCTCCAGTTTCTGTTGTTATAGCAGAAATTGTGATGCAGAACATCGAGGAACGCGCCCTTTCGACTTGCCGACAAACGATACCGCTTTGGTTACGTTACGTTGACGACACATTCACCGCCGTTCGACACGACGAAATTGACGCATTCCACAACCACCTTAACGAACAAAACACTGACATACAGTTTACCAGAGAAGTCGAAGAAAATGGCAAACTTCCTTTTCTAGACTGCCTGGTAAGCCACAACGACAACTCATTACGAACGACAGTTTACAGGAAACCGACACACACCGACAGATTACTAGACGAGTCATCCTACAACCCTACATCACACAAAGCCACAACTATCAGAACTCTAACACGACGCGCACAACTAGTATGTGACTCGACAGACAGCTTATCCGACGAGAACAAATACCTTCACCGTGTTTTTACGAAGAACAACTACAACAACGACTTCATCCGACGAAACACTCACCGACCCACTACCACTACCGAAACAAACGACACCGCAACCCCTACGACTACAGCAACCATACCGTACATAAAAGGCATGTCTGAAAACATCTCGCGCATCTTACTACCCTTCAATATCCGCGTCGCCCACAAACCCATCACCACACTACGTCAGTTACTAACCAACGTTAAAGACAAAGACGAACCGAGGAACAGACAGGGAACGATTTATAAGATCAATTGTTCCGACTGCCAAGCCTCCTACATCGGTGAGACTGGCAGAAACCTCACAACAAGACTGACTGAACACAAACGGGCGACGAGGAAAGGTGATGTCAGCAATCACATTGCTGAACACCATCGACTTACCAACCACAACATTGACTGGGACTCTGCGCAATGCCTAACCTACAGCACTGACTATTTTCAACGACTGACTCTGGAAAGCTGGTTTACTAACTTAGAACAGACTCCCCTAAACAGATGTCAACAACTACCCGCTCCATACAAACGACTCATTCACGACATAAACATCACAAACGACCGAAAAAGAACGACCTAACTTTACCGACAGATCGAAACAGACCAATCACGACCGACTTACGTCACTTGAGTCTTACAGCCAATAACATCACGGCAAAACCAACCGATCATTTCACACGAACTGGAATAAGAACATTCTACTGACAACAATCATTCACTTGACTCTGATGATGACTTCCGCACAGGTTGTCGAAACGTCAGTCACTACCACCGACAACAGTCCTTCTCAGGACTACACTCACCCGGACGATCAGACTACACCTTCACATATCATTATTATGTTGTCCGGAAGAGCCATGGTGAAATTTCAGTTTGCGGTTGTTGTTTTCTGCACAGCCATTTGATTGGGTAAGTAGATTTCACTTTCCTTCATTACTAGAGCATGAACTGAAAGGAAACTTAATAATAATAATAACGAATATTTATACAGGATAGCCCTTCAGTGCAGGAGCACTGTTATCAATGGGGTCCTGTCGACTTAAAGTTGCTTACTTAAAGTTGTTGACTTTTTTCAAGTCCGTGCCGAGCAGTTGCTACGTTACTGCATTTCGTTGTTCATCACCCGTTTGCAAATTCACCCTCTCTAGCTTTTTTCTGATAGTTGATGTTACCGTAACTCAATATCTTGGTTAATGATACTCCTAGACAAATCCTTTTATCGGTAACTTTAATTTCCTAAATTTTAATTGCTCAGTCAAGCTGCAAAGTTTTGGCATGATTTTATTTCTATCCTAGCTAAACAGCAGTCCAGGAATTGATTTTTCCGCGAAATTCTAGGTAAAAAATCCAAGTACATTATCCTTCAAATTGAAGAGCCCTGACAAGTTAAGATGAGCAAAACTTGGCCTTCAAAGTCATTGTAAAGTCCTTGAATTTCAACCTTTGGCATCTGTAGGAACCTACTCCTATATGGTAATATATTATTCTGATTGTTGTCTAGTACCATAACAATATTCATTACACTCCAGCAGACAAAAATAAACACAAGTAGACTTATTCATGACCAGCAATGACGAAATTGCTCACTTGACGTCAGTAACGATGGCCGTCCCCTAAAGATAACTCCAGATGTGCGATATTGAAATCCCGAGTTCACGCAGCTATGCGTGAAGTTAAATTACGGGAGCGTCTCTGCCCACGTCACCGATTGTTCGCATCAAAGTCAAAAATGTCACTCATAATCTCATCAGAACCAATCAATTCAACTAATGCACAGACTCGTCAAGTATCATATATATACAGTTGACTACCTGTGTGACCCAAATCACTAGCACGCCTTTGTTGTCACGGATAGGACAGATAAGTTGTCGGAAAGCCATGATGAAACTTCCATTCGCACTTTTTGTTTTCTGCACAGCCATTTGCTTGGGTAAGAAAGTTTTATTTTCTCCTTTTTACTAAGCCCTGTACTGTAAGAAAATTGGCAAAAACCTAGCGACGTTTCTGCAGCAGATGCTGCTTCATAGCAATTTGTCGTTTTAACAGGCGGCGATCGATAGTTAAGGAAAATAGGTGCAACGACTCTAACAAATTCTTATTATGCAAACTTGTTTTTTTAAAGATCCTTTAAATCACCTACTTGAAACAGCCTCTGAATAGTTTTTGGTTTTAGAATTATCGAGTTTGCTCTCATTTTTATTCTCTCTAAACGTCGTACACGACATGATCTGAATCCAGAAAAAGCTGCCTATGTTTCCGAGAAATGGCCTCCATAGGTATATACAAACTTTTATGGGCAGTGAGCCTTGTAAGATGAGAGTTTTCCTGTTGTCCTTTTCGCATTAGTCTTTGTTGAAATGGTAAACTTGTTTTCTGACATTGCTTTTAAATGTGATTGTAACTGATCAATTCCTTGGTTAACAGTTGAAGGGTCTAGCATGATCGAATTTACATCCCTTCGTTGTCTTCTTGAGCCACGATAGAATTACTTTGAAAAACTTGCCTTGTTTCCGACTGAGAAAAGGCTAGTAAACAGTGCTACATAAGAATGTGTCGGACGCCATTTGCTTGCTTTCACCGAGCATCAAAAGAAGGTAAAAACGGTTTTCATTTTCTCTTACCGCACTTAAGCCCTACTTTGAAAGGAGGCGAACGTAAAACACGCAGGAAATCATCACAGCAACTGCTCTGTTACGGCGTTCCTTTATGTATTAATCGTTACGTTTTGACTGCTACTCTCGGTTGCTACAGTCTTCCTGCTATTCAATGTGTGAATAGCAGGAATAATAACAGGTCGAACGTTTATGTATCGCTCTGTATAGCTTGTTGTTCAGTATTGATTTGCTAGAGCGCGGTGTCATTGATGCATTTCGATCTATTAATCAAACGAGTAAACGTTCATTTATCTAAGAATGTTTTAACTAGCCGTTTGATTTTATTATCGTCAAGCAATACCAATCCTTTATACGAGTTAAAATAAACCGATACTTAGAGTCGTTAAGCATCAAATTTGTAGAGCTGCCTTCTAACTGTGTGACCCAAATCACGAGCGCGCATTTCTTATCACGGATAGAGCCGATAAGCTGTCGAAGAGAAACATGGTGAAATTTCTACGCGTTTTTTTTTTTTCTGCACAGCCATTTGCTGGGGTAAGAAAGTTTTACTTTTCCTTTTTATCTTTATTGTTAGGAAATTAGCAAAGACCCACGGACATTTGTGTAGCAGATGCTGCGTCATACCAATTTGTCTTTTCAATAGGCGGACATGCCGGATAGTTTTGAGAAATGACCCAACAAATTATGGAAAACCTCTATTTACGTTTCCCTTAAAATAACTCACATGATACATTCTTTGGTTAGTCTTAGGCCTTTAGAATGATCAAGTTTACTCTCCTTCGTGATCTCTTTGAACAACTAACCAATCATGATAATCTAGACAAAGCTTCCTAGCAGTTTCCGAGAAATGGCATGTAAACAATGTTCTATTCAAGGGATAACCAATCTGCATATACAAGCTTTTATGAATAGTGAGCCCTGAAAGATAGGAGTTTTCCATTTTTGTTTCTCGCATTAGCCTTTTGTTGAAAAAGTATGACCAAAAAATTCCCTCACAGCAACTCCTGCGTCGAGGCAGACCCTCATGTAACCCAAAGGATTACCTTCTTGTAATAAATTAACGTTGTACAGTTCTTTCAGATCGCTTGCGTAGTCCAAATGATTTCCAGGATTTGCTTCACGTTGTCTCTCTATTTAATGAAAATAATACAAAGAACATCATATCCTTAAGAGCTTCCTTTATATCTTTCCACGAAAAGCTCCTTTTTTTCTTCTTCGGGCATCAAAGATATTTACGAGTCTTGATGCAAACATAATAAATAATTGAGTTATTGTACTTTCCTCAGAGTCTTATCTATTTTCGATTGTAACTTACACTACTGCAGCTAGTTTATTGGTTAAGACAATTAACTTGCCTCGTTATGCCATTCTACTGAAAGAAAGTCTCGATGGAATAAAGTAGAAATACTTGAGGAATAGCTTCCGGAAATTGAATTTCCGAGAAACGCCATGCAAACAATTCACTGTGCTTTCCGTTGGATTGAGAAGCCTCGGCAGGTCAAGGATATTTGGATTGTAAATATATTTATTAAAACTGGATCATTGGATAATGCAATTCAAGACTTTTTACTGTACATTGTGAAATCCGGTTTCTTCTCACAAAATAAAGTCGAGAAGACTTGTCTAATATCTTGGGGGCGTTTTTTTTAATAAAAAACAATTATTCCACTCTTGCTTGTTGGATATGAGATGATTATAGCCAACTCGGCGCTACGCGCCTCGTTGGCTATCTATCATCTCATATCCAACGCGCGCTCGTGGAATAATTGTTAAATATATATGCGACTTAGTAAATTAACTCATTGATTTTTATTCGAGAGGGCTTCGCCTTTTTTTCTTACTCAAACGAGACGCTCGAGGAGCGTTCACTCGGACTTCTTTTATAGCTATGGCATTCCCACCAAACACGAGTACAATTATAACATAGCTTGTAAATTCGTGCAATCAAATTCAATTGCGCGAGCGTGCTTCAATTTTCCATTGTGCATGCTGGTGACGTCAGCAAACAAATGCCTCGCGAAAAAATTTTTTTCTCGCATTTTTCAGCATTTTTAATTAAAAAACGGGAAAAACTTCCGCTAAAAAGTTAAACTAGACATGGAAACAAGCTAACAAGCAGCCTACTTTTTCTTTGGGAATGGATTTTTTAACTTCCGAGAAAGAACCCAGAGAAAGGGAAAACAAAACAATCAACGGTTTCATCTCGTTTCGCAACTCTAACTTCATTTCCACGCATGAATTTACCTGTCAGTTTTTGACCAATCTGAGACAAGATCATTGAAGCATAGCAAAGTACTTTTCCGAAACAAAACTGAACAACGCATTGAAGCGTAGGAGAGGGAATTTCTGCGCTTTAAACATAAACTACAGCGTTGAAAATGTTATAAAATAATTGGTTTATGAGTAAGCTGCGCGTTCATCGAGACTTGAAGGACTTGGGAAGCACTCAAGAAGCTAAAGTTCCTCTCGACTGCGCATCGAGTAGACAGCTTTCTAGCCATTTCCGGAGTCGTCACGCCAGGCGAATAACTCCCCCAGAAAAGGCTGCTCACATTCGAACTGCAATCTATTCAGGATTTCGACCAATCAGCATTTACTTACCATATTCTGGAAAGTGTCCGCGCCAAAACATGCTAACCAATCAAAGGCCTTGACTTATCTACTCTACTCGGGAATTAAAATGGCGTTCATTGACGAAGCTTTTGAGATTGTTGCACGGAAATTCGGGATTAAAAGTTTAAATCCTCACCAAAAAGAAGTCATTAATTCGATTGTCTTGGAAGGACGCGATGTTTCCGTCAATCTACCAACAGGATTTGGTAAATCCCTCATATACCAGGCATTGCCAACGGTTTTCTTCTAGCACAAGTCCGTATGGATGACTTCGAATAGGAAACACACCAATAGATCCAACAGGAAATCTTGCCGGAGTATAACGTACCTGTTAGCTGATCGCGGTAGAAATACTAGAATTTGCTGTGGTATTGATCGGATCGAATTGTAAACATTTCGAGGATTTCCCACGGCACGAAGCTTGGATTTCTCCACTGTCGCTCTCAACGTTCAATAAGCGCTTCGTTCTGGGAAGTTCGCGATCCTTGAAGATTCCCTTCAATTCATCTTTGAGCTCTTCAAAATGATCAGAGGCCTTTATGAACTTGATCAGTCGGTAGCAAGCATTACAAACTGACAACTCACTGGTCGCTGACTAGCAGCTCACATTCACATCCAGACAGGAACTAAAAATCGCCGGAAAATCAAAAGAACTTTTTCCAAAAACACAAATGTTTTCTTTTTTCTCAACTGAAGTGGAATAAATAAAGCAACGATCACTTTGCAAAACCTTCTTCGGCGTTTCCTCAATCAAGAAACTACGATGAAATGCAGATTTTGAAAACGCGGGAAAAACGATATTGATTACAATCTCTTTTGCTCTGACTGGTCACATGAGAAACGATGTCAGTGATCTCATTGGTGCAAAGACAACAAAGCGATAGGAATATTGTTTGAATGTGAGCAGCCGTTTGTGGAGAGGAGCGTTGCGTGACGAAACTAAAAACGGCTGCGAGAGAGACTACGCATCGAGCAACTCTAAGGCATCTTTCGTGCTTTCCAAACTTCCTACGTGCTTCAAGTCTCGATGAACTCACGCTAACGCATGAACCAATTGTTAATAGTGATTATGTGCGAAATACCAAATCGTACTTTTCAAGTATTGAACCCGTTAACAGAAACATGATTTTTAACGGAAGAGCAAAGCTTATATATTTAACCTTACTATTTAAGTTGCTTCTGTCAGTATCCTTATCCAATTCGCTGTTGTTAGCGCCACCTTCGAAGTTGTCTTACTAACATTCCTGATTTTTTCAGCAAGTGAGGTGTTCGTCTCAGTATCCTAGTTTTTTGTTGAATCAGCCGTCGCAGTTCTGCCAGTATTTTCGTAGTTTGAACTCACATATGGCTCATTTGTTATCTCGTGAGAACTAGTATGAACTTTCCACATTTGGCTACCTTTCAAGTAATGAAGTTCGTGGACCGGCCCATTCCGAAAACACTCGACATCATTTAGCGTGGGCCTACCACGACCGGCGTGTGCGTTTGCATGTGGGATGAGCTTATAAGACAGGAATCTTTGCAAGGTGGTCTTCACAAAACACAGCTTTCTGTAAATGACGTTGTTTATGAAGATCGAGCTCACGATAACACAAGTTGTCGCACTTTGATCCCCAGTTTCCGCGGTTTACGCAAGGAACGCCTGGGACCATGACCCCCTTTTGGCGACCAAAGCGGCTTGCATAATCAGACTCGGGCTTTCCTACGGAAGCCCGAGCAAAACGTCAAACCTCTTTCCTCACTTCCCCTTGGTTTCATATGATTATGACAAACGATGTCACTTGAAAAAAATCCTTAAAGTTCGGCTGAAAAATAACTTTTCGAATTTTCTGTCGTTGGAATCGCGTGCTAAAACTAAATTTGGACCATCCTTACGTGCAGTTGCGTGTAGTTGGTAAAAACACAGTGCATTTCTGTACCTTTTAAGGATACACATGTTTCTTTATCGGCCAACTCTGTTAAATGCTACAGTTGCGTATGAGACCCATCTTTAGAATACACCACGGAACGATGATTGAAAGATCAAACGACTGTATCAAGAGAAATGTGTCAGATCTCACCGAAAAAAGATGGTCAGTCGGCAAAAGCGTTCGGTGCTTCCTTTAGATTACGTGTGGAGAGTCACGCCATGTAATCTGAGAAGAAGTTTCGACCAATGTCACCCTGAAGGACACCACATATAATCCTACCTATTTCGTATCGCACAATGTTTCAAGGGCATTTTGAGCTGCAAACAACAAAATTCCTATAACTTGAACATGCTCTTCCAAACTGAAGAGACTAATTCATTACAATTACCCAGCAAATTTCACAGCAAGGACAATATTCTGACTCAACATTCATCATAAAATAATGTTTAACCCCGTAACTATAACATCAGACCGCGAAGGAACGAGACAAAGCTACATACTGAGAATAGTTGTAATAGTACTAGATACATAATCCCAGTGATAAAACAGCGCGATTTATACGCAGTAAATCAAACGTTTAGATATGTGACGGTGGAAAAGTTTTACATTGCTGACAGCTTTATGATATCCCAAATGTTCTTCGCCCTTCAATGAACTGTTTTGTTCCTCATCCAAGTATGTCTTATTGTTGTGTATTCATTTAGTGGAGACACACACTCCTCAATTGCTTACTACTATTCTCTCTTTATTCGTTGATCAAGTATCTTATAAGCTGGTAGAATAGTCTTAATTAGTAACAGTACTTTCACATCACTCAGTAATCTTACAGTAATATCACTAACACTAGTACAAGTACTTTTACTGTGTTCTCAATACACTACACTTATCAAGTGATTCATCTGTTTCTTTCTCAGTGTCCTGTTTCAAATGTTACCAATGTGTACGGAAATCTTTGGATGTCGAAGAATATACCACGAAGCAATGCTTGAAAGATCAGAAAATTGTCGATTGCATCAACAGAAATGTGTCAGACCCTACCGAGTACGCATGCGTCAGGATGCACAGCGTGAGTGATGATGATGTAGAGTATGAGATGAGAGCCTGCTATATTAAGAGTATTTGCGAAGAGCGAAAGAAACGATGCGAAGACAAAGCCCAGATGAAGGAACAGAAGATAAAAGAGTGCACTATGACTTGCTGTGTCAGTGATGGTGACACACCCTGTAACAGTGGCTTCACCGTCTTCAACGACCCGATTGCGATTCCGACAATGATGTTGGCTGTGTTGTGCGCCTTGAAGCTGTTTTAGTCACACATTCCCGCAGAGGTCAACTTGTAATGCTTTTTCGGCCAATCAAATGTCTGGATCATTAGCGTGTGATTTTGAAGTTAAAGTAAAATAAACTGGTTTATGCGTTAAGCTAGATACACTGTGTTTTGTTAAATGTTATCACTTGTAGAATGTATGTATCGCAGAATACATGGTTTCCATGGTTACCTGTAATGACAGGAGAATAAAGCTATTGGGACTAGTTGATATGAGAGTAAGTATCCTTCGTTATCAGTATTCGACGATAAAAAACAGAATTTACTTTGCTTCGTAATTTTTCTGACCTCTAAGTCGGAGTAATGGTGCGTGTTATCGGTGATTCATGCTCAGAACATTCGTGGCCTCTTGCCACCGCTCCCTCCCCTACCCACCCCCCTCTCCACCCGCGGTCCTCTTCGCCAGCTTACGGTTAATATCCGAATCATGGCATTCACTCGCGATCTTAAAGTTAAGCTGATGTCACGAACCTCTTTTTTACTGACTGGCGTTAAAATCTCTCTGCTATGAAACTACTTTAATTTTGTCAAGTTACGCTCTTTTCAAAAACGGACAGAACAGTGAGGTGACAGTGGGAGCTTATGAGATTATGAGTCGTGTTAAATTTATCTTCACGAGTAACGTTTTCTTATACAGAAACGAGATAAATCAGACAAGTAATGTCGTCAGGAGGCAGCGTGACCGAGTGGTCAGCGTGTGTGACTCGCAATCCACCGCTCCCAGGTTCGAGTCCCACCGGGACCACTACCTGGATTTGTTCCACGGTAGCTCCGAGTTCAAACCCTCGGCCATGCCTGTAAGTAGCCAACTGGTTTGCCTCCAGCCAGTTGGGATTCTTAATAATGTTATGTTCAATTTGAATTATTTGATTCAGTTGTTTGCTCGTTCCCACCAGCACTTGTGTGCTATAAACACTGCCGAGGGTAAAATAAAGTTATTTTTATTTTATTTTGTAATAGGAGTAAGTTTATTTTTCGCTACGGGAGAGATTGACTGTTGATTCTTATTCGCTGCTGATATGGTCGCACTTATATCTTATTAGACGTTTTGTTGTGTAGTATCGTTGAGTATTTTTACGAGTTGTGCTGTAATTTGACGAGCCCTACGGGCTCGTCAAAATACAAATAACGAATAAAAATGCTCATTGATACGACACACCAAAACGTCTAATAAGTTATTTATTATCCAACACGCCAACAGTGCGGGCGAATTTCGTGAATATTTATTTATGGGGAGTGCGTGACAGAAGTATGCGAAACGGAATGGAATTGACGCCTTGTCGTGTTGCTGTTTCTATTTTCTTCACTGAAATGATGAAATTTTACTGTCGTCTACCTGCTTTTCTTCGTTCGATTTATCTAAGAAACTTGGAGCAATATTCAGTTCGCCAGCCATCCCGGTTCGTCCTCAGAAAAATGATTGTCTGCCATTTTTTTTTTTATTCGGAACTTCAATCCACTTCGTCGCTTGCGCGATGCGAGAAAACCTGTCTTACCGGTTCTCTGGAGTACAAATACCGCGTGATATTTGTACTCGTCTTGGGCGTTATTTGTACTCGTCTTGGGCGTTATTTGTACACTCACAGTTGTACACTCTTCTTTCTCTTTTTCCGCGAGGCGCGTTTTTCTCTGTGTTTACCGCTGGCCACAAGCCAAACGCAAGATTTGCATGTAACACCGATGTGCTGTGACACCAAGCGGCAAGCATCAGTGGGTTTGGGGACTAACTTAAGCAAAATTTGAAACTTAAGCCTAAGCGTTGGTGTTCACAATAACCAAAATGAGGATCGCTTTAGCCGCTGTTATCGCCTCTTCTCTCATTTGTCACGGTAGGTCAAATAATAGAAATTTGCCGATCAATATGGAGGCCAAATTTATGCACTTACCTCGTAGACCTAACGATTCATTTAGAGCGATCAAAATGATTGCTCTTTACACGAGACAAGTGTGCAACTCTCCATGGTGGTAAACTAGTAGCAGGTTTAATTAGGTGACAAGGAATTTTGTCATGAACGAGCAGTTGTTATTACCTGGCTGGGCTTCTGTCTCTGCGTTATTTGATATTTTGTTCCGAGTAGTTACTGGTAAAAGCGAAAGCCGTTGGAAATGATAGAGAATTTTATCAATTGGTTTTCACAGTCGCACCAAATTCAACCGGAAACCATGATACGTTCGAAACGGATGTCTGTTTCATTGTAAGTAGTTGAATTATCTTAACCAGCCCCCGAAGAACAGAAATTCGTAACATATTGTTTTACGAGATGTGTAGGGACAGCAAATGTAGTGTATCAAGCTTTTGCTTACCATCAGAAATATAAAACATCATTCTGTGAGTTGGGACGGTTAGATTTTACCATCACTAGAGAGAGAGAAGCTCTCATTTGTAGTACGTTCATTTTTAAAGGAAGACACGAGGATAAAACTCAAATATCCGTCGGTGAGCTGCCATCTTCTACAATTGCTCTTTATTCAAATTTTAACCCGGCAGAGGTCAAACTCAACAACTTTTAAAATCCCAAGCCGTTGCGTTACAAATGTGTTTTGTACTTTTCGCTATTGTTTATGAAACTGTTTGCGCTCAGAGATTCATCGCTTAATTTTGAAGGTTTTTGCTAATATAAGTTTGCAAACAGAACCTTTTTAATCAAAAGATGGTCACTCGGCAAAAATGTTCGGTGCTTCACCCCGATCACGTGTGGGGAGAATCACACCATGTAATCTGAGAAGTTTCGAACCATGTCACCTGAAGGATTTCACAGATAATCCTACACCGTATTTCGTACCGCACAATGTTTCATGAGTATTTTGAGCTATACACAACAAAATCCATGGAACTTGCTCTTCCAAATTGAAGAGAACCTGCAACTACACGGCAGTGACAAACAAAGGACAATATTCTGACTCAACATTCATCATAAGACCAAATTGACATGTACGTGTAACTTCGTAACTGTAATATCAGACCGCAAAGGAACGAGACGAAGCCGCATACTGAAAATAGTTGTAAGGGGCCGACCATTTAACTTTTGAGGGGGGGTGGGTGATTTTGAAAAAAATTTCCTGCAAGCGCTTGTTGGAAGAAAAAAATTGCATGCAGCCCAAATGTAACAGAAAAAGCGTATCAAAAAATCGGAAAAAAAAGTATCCTGCACAGCAGATTGCTAGGAAAAAAATTTCTTGATGACCAGAAATTACCCAACCTCAAGAGTTAAATGTTCGGCCCGTAATTGTACACGATTCATAATCCATCTGATTAAACAATGCACGTGATGTTTACGTGCTAAATCAAACGTTTAGATTTGTGAAGTTTTACATTGCTGGCAGCTTTATGATATCCCAAGTGTTCCTTGCCATTCAATGATCTTCTCTTGAGGAGAACTGGTTTGTTTTTCTTCTGTGTCTCGCAATTAATGTTTGAACGACATGCCGTCGAACTGGACTGAGATCGCGTGTTTAAAGCAAATTTGGTTCGAGGATTATGTCACGCAATGCAAGTACTGGGCGATGTCTTAGCAAGTTTGCAAACATTTATTAAGGATTATAACGGCCTAAAATTGTTTTAAATCCAAAAACAAACACAGAAAAGCCAGAAGAAATTGAATTGAGATGGACAGTAACATTCAAATCTAAAGAATTTACACCAAAATTATGATCGTATTCAAAGTGCAGTGGAACCTCTATATAACGAAATCCTCGGCATAACGAACGATACTTCAGTTTCCGCCCGGCTAAAGTTACAGTAAAACGTATGCCACAGAACCTCGATATAACGAACCAAATTTCCCAGTCCCTTGGCACTTCGTTAAATCGAGGCTCCACTGTGGTAAGTAAACGACTACTATTCCGTAAATTAAGATAAAGAGCCGTGATTAATAAACGAAATACACACTACCCATTGTTAAGCAATTCAGCGGAGCCTTTGAAGACCTTTATTTGAATACGGATATAACAATTCTTTAGCAAGGTTGGATGTAGGTATTCCTCTTTAAACTCGCTTTTCACTGAGCGTCTCTCCAATCAAATTCCTTTCTGCTATTCCTGAGAAATTGCTAAGTTGATAAATGCTCGCAAAACAGCGTTATTTCGTTTTGACACGAATCTGCCTGGAGTGAAATGCTTTGTTCTTGATAAATATATATTCATACTTTATATCCCTTCATTTGTATTTAGTTTTCATTTGCTTTTTCTCATTTCATTAGCCTTTTGGCAAAATGGGACAGATGTTGGTAAATTATGAAATAATCAACATGAAGCTAGATCCACAATGCCATGGTACAATGAACAGAAATAGGTCATGGCCGTAGCTAAGTTTTTTTTTTTTTCCCGGGGGCCCGAGTTACGAATTTCTGTGCGTCTTTAATGAGCTGGTTCATACCGCTGCTCTTCCTTGTGTATCAGCGGGCTCGTATTCACGCTACAAGAAGGACCAGCAAATGGAATACCAAACTCTGGCAAAGGTCTACGCCATTTAGATTTTTATCGGACCGAAACTATTGATTTATTGTCCGTTATAGCCTGTAAGAAAGGTGGAAGGCGTTAGCATCCCAAAGTTCCCTCTAGGTTACTTCCCTGTGGGTTCAATTTAGTTGTATGCAAACGTTAACACTTCTACATCTCTCGTGCTGGGATTGGTTAATCCAATGGTTAGTTTTCCACCGCATAGCCCTCTAAAATTTAAGGCCGTTTTTGTTACAAATTTAAATTAAAGTGCCTTTATCGCACCTTAATGGGCCTTTATATTAAGTAAACCTTTGTTAACTCCTTATTATTTATTCACAGCTTTTTCAATTACATGTTATCAATGTGTTCCTGAGATGACAGCCAGTTGTAATTCATTTAACACTAAACAGTGCATCCGTCACCAAACCAAGAGGATCTGTCCTAAGGGAATGGACTCTTGTATGTGGACACATGTTCGTGGAATTTTTAACAATAGGACGATTGACGTAGAACAAAGATCCTGTGCGACTGGCCATACTTGTGGAAGTTTGCAGACCTCGTGTGACTGGAATAACAACAACACGGATTTAAAGTGTGGATGGTCATGCTGTAAAAGTGACCTGTGTAATGTAGGTAATGACGCAAGTTACAGCCCAGTCACTGGCTGTTTTCTGCGTCTTCTGGTTGCCCTTTTGACTCTCTTCCTTTGACTCTTAATCGCCATGATGCGCGGTGGTAGCCAAGAAGTCAAGGCTGAATAATACGTGTCTGCTTAT